AGAGAGAGAGAGAGAGAGAGAGAGAGAGAGAGAAACTTCCCTTACTTGAACAGAAAACCTGTGTGGTCTCTGCACTAAACACTAGGCTCCTCTACTAAACTGGAAATCTACTAAAGCTGGGGGGTGGGGGAGAGACACAACGACTACAACACACGACAGCCCCACATCTTTCCACACCTCCAAAGGCAAGAAAAGATCTGACACTCCAGTCTCGGGGAGGTTCTGACCCAAAGGTCTCCTTTGGGGCTGAATCGCCCCTTCAGAACTACAGGTCCCTGAAATACTCTGGAACTGCCCTCCCTTCCCATGGCCCCAAAGGGAAAGGAGCTGTTCCTAACCATTCCTTCCCCCATCAGCAGGCTTCCCCCGCCCCCCCCCCCCCCCTGTATCCCAGAGAGGGGTGCGGGCATGTGGTCTCTGGGTCACTTGAGGTACAGTGGCTCTTGTTGTGGACTACAGGAAGACAAGCACTTCGTCACATAGCATTTCACCCCCAGGATCACCTCTCAGCCTGCATTGTACACGAGGGGAGAAGGCTGTTAGAACTGCCCTCGACGTTGCCTAAAGGCACCAGCCAATCACCATGCCCCAGCGGGCAGAATCCACAAGCCTGTCGGGGCACCCCAAGGCTCCCTGCCGCACACCCCTTCCTTCCCTCACCAGCAAGCCCCTGCCCCGAAAGGGGCTCCCTCCCCACTACCTTGGGCCCAGGGTCAGCAGTCCCAGGAGAGGCTGAGCCTTTGGAGCCCTGCCCCTTACAGCAAAGGCGCAAGATTTCATTGTCAGCCTGGCCTTACCACCCTGCACGAGGCAGGGCACAGGACTGAGGGCTTCCCTGCAGAACCTGCGAAGGAATGGGGAGGGGTCTCAAGGGGAAGTGTTTGAAAATCTGCATAGTCCAGATCCGGAAACTGCCAGGAAAGGAAGAAGGCGGGGGGTGGGAAGAGCACAACCTTAAGCGCTCCAGGACAGAGAGGAGGGGCTGGAGGAAGCACCTCAAGGCAACCCGGAGCCTTCCCCCGGGAGGCCACGCTCCTAGGAAGTTTCTCCTGGTGGCCCAGAGTAGGGCCTGGTGCTCGGAATACCCTCCCTGCCCAACCAGCTTCCAGGCACAGACTCGAACTTGAGCCGAACTCCTCCTTTCTCCAGCATCCCTCAGATCTGCGGCCACCCGCTGTGACATCTCTGTCCCAAGTCTTCTTCCACCAGTGCTGAGACTCGCTGAGACTGCTCACCATTGCATTGTGGAAGGCGCGGGGCGGGGAGGGGGGGACCCAGCACAAACAAACTGCGGCCATTAAGAAAAAAAGGAGCAAACACAAATTCCTTCTCTTGAGATTGATTCCCTCCACCCAAATGGAAACCTCCAAACAGGCAACTCCCGCCAGGATCACGGCGCGGTGGGAGGAGTGCCCGCGGCGGGCAGCGACCACGGCCAGCAGCCCCCCTTCCTGGCAGGTCTGAGCACCGTGGCAGGCTAGGATTCTGGGAGCCCTCGCGCCAGGAACAGCCCACCGAGGACACAAAGCTCCACCGCCAACAATACCTGCGGGCTCCTCTTGGGTCTCGGGGCGCCGGCGCTGCGCGTCTCGCCGTCTCCTTCTCTCCCGCCGTCTCTCTGCGCTTTCCCCCTCGCCTCTTCCTGAACCCGGCGGCCAGATGAGATCCTTCGGAGAAAAAAAATGTGAGCGCTCACACGATTCCTTTCTCTGGGCGCCGCTCGCGGGGGCCCTGGGCTCCCTCTTCTCGCTCGCGCTCCTGTGCGCGCCGCGCCTGTCCAGCCCCGCGCTTCCAGCTCAGCAGCCCCTGCGAGCGCCCTCAGTAGCCATTATTCACCCGCCGCTGGGGGGGGGCGGGGGGGGGACAGCAGGTAATTAGAGACGGCCCTGTGGCCACAGCCACTCGGCTAGCGAGATGCGGGGAGGGCGCGCGCGGGGAGGGGCACGCGGACTCGGGGGCTTGGCTGCGCACAACCCGCGCCCCAGACGCGGGGGAGGGGGAGGAAGAGGAGGAGGAATGGTGAGATGGGCGCGAGCGGGAGGAGGGGGCGCCGTGGAGACGCTCCGGCGGCTCTCACCGCTGAGGCCAGGGTCACGGCTGTGAGGTTCCGAGGCGCTAACAGACGGGGTGGGGGCGGGGAGGGAAGGGGCGTTATGTGCGCGCACGCGTGCCAAGGTTAGAAGCGGAGGAGGGAGGGAACGCTTTAATATTTTTCCAGTGACTTATGAGCCCACGGGTGAGCCCTCGGATGTGCGTTCGGAACCGTGTGTGTATCAGTGTGGCGATAAATTTCTGTTAGGCCCTATGTGTGAATGTCACCGGCTAGGGCGCGGTGGGGGTTGGTGACTAGAAACCAGCCTGTGAATGTGCTCAGGGGTCTCGGTGGTACTGAGTGATGTCGTGTTTGTCTGCGATTGTTTATAGCGGGTAATGTGGCTGCGTGGGGGGGGGACTGCCTGTGTGGGCTGTATTTCGTGTGGGCTTGTGTGCGAGTGGGCTGGCTGTTGTGTGGGATGGTGGGACTACACAAGTACAGGCAGTGCGCCTGTGCGTGCGCTGGCCTCAGACAGGGATCTGAGACTGCCTGTGGTCGCAATGAACCTGCCAAGAGGGTCTTAAGCCTGACGTGTGGGAGCTGGCCCTCGTGGATGGCACCGACTTAGGAGCTGCTTAAGGTTCAAACAGGCAGTGCTGGGATGGGGAGCAAAACAGTGAGCGCGCGTGCATAGTGAGCGCGCGTGCATGTGTGTGTGTGTGTGTGTGTGTGTGTGTGTGTGTGTATACACAGGAGTGCGCGCGCGCCCCTGCGCGCGCCAGTGTAGTTCGAGGGGGACCTTTAATGACGCGCCTTCCCATGCTGCTGCATCAGATGCGCAGCTTGGAGATCCTCTCTCTTGCTGACCTCAGGGACCTAGAGGCTCAAAATTTGTGGAGTAAGGGGGGGTGCCTGGAAGGGCAGCAGAGCCATGTTGAGGGGGTCTTGAGACAGCCAAGACGAGGGGGGGCGTAGTGCCCTAAGATAGCCAGAGAATAAACTGAAACAAAGACGACTGGGGACTTTGGGGATGGACCTTGGTGGAGGGGATGGCCTGACCATTCGCTAAGGGCAGGCGCATATAACCCAATGAAGGTGGTGCGACCCCTTCCATTCTCTGTAGTTCTGGGGGGCAGTTAATGTTTTGTGTTATTAGTGCAGTTGGCAGGTGCTATGTCTCCCACTGAGTTTTGCTGGCCAGCTCTTTTCCAAGCCACTCCCTAGCCCACGCAGCCACCCACCCACTCCATTCATTCATCTATTCATCCATATAGCCATACTCTTTCCAGCCATTCAAGTCTCTGTCCAGATTAATTACCCAGATCTTGCTCCCCACTTTGTGCAGAAATCATTCTGTCTCATTCATCCCTCAGTGTTCCACTTCCTCCTTGGGCACCTCTCTGATCTTGTAGAAAGGAGCCACCACACTTAAGTTTAGTGATGGTTGAAGCTCCATCTACTAAACCCCACCCTGTCCCTATTGGTCTCCATACACCCTACACCTGACCTCACCCCATCCTGCCCATGATGGTGTGCCAAGAAGGACTTGCCCTCAACCATCCCTTCAACCTTCTGGCCTAGGAGGTGTTCATGACACTGTTGTTCTGCCTCCCAGTCCTTGGCCAGGGCTATAAAGACCTGGTGGCACTGAGGCCATCAGAAATTCATGGCCTGAAAGTCTCCTAAGTTTAGCCTTTGATATAGTAAGAAGCTTTTTGTTTGTTTGTTTGTTTGTTTTTTTTGAAACAGAGTCGCTGACCTGGAACTTGCTATGTAGACTAGGCTGGCCTCAAACTCAGAGATCTGCTTGCCTCTGCCTACCAAGTGCTGGGATTAAAGGCATGCACCACCATGCCCAGCTGGGAAGTAAGAAGGCTTAAAAAGATTCCAAGTTGGGCATGAGGGAACACACTTATAATCCCAGCACTTGGTAGGATGACCAGGAGTTCAAGGCCATCCTCTGCTATACAGCAAGTTTGAGATCCTGTCTCAAAAAGACAAAAACAAAAAGCCAGATTTCCTAATCCAAGTGAGTGCCTAGAGCTGTTATACAGGTAGTTCCCTTTACTGACAATCAGCATTTATAGTCAAGCTTGGCACTACTCGCATGGCATTTTTCAGTCTCTCTGGCTCTACTGTGCTGTGCCTAGGAGCCAGCAGCCTCCATAGCCATCTGAGAATGAACTCCAATTTCCCCACCTTTGAAATGCAGAGCTGGTTAGTGTCTGCCTTCAATAATCTGTTCTGGAAGCCTGTGTCACTCAGTCCTGAGGCTGTATGAACCAGAGGCTTGCTGTGGGTACCATCAAGCCTGATGTCAGAGCAGCCCAAATCCCTGCTGGGGACCACTGACCTAGTCATAGACTATCCTCTTGACCCTTCCCCCACCACTTTCTGACTTTAGCTACCTCTTCCATGCAGCCACCCACAAAACCAGGTCTGAAAGGCATACCTAGAGATGGTAGTGAGTACCCCTTCTAGATGGCAGAGACTGGCATCCCCACCCGACTCTATAAGTTGAACAGAGTTTCTAGTGGCTGATGGGACCCTCAAAGTCAGGCCCCCACAACCTTCCTGACATCATGTCCTACCCTCTCACCCTCATTACAGTGCCCTTGTTATTATACATATAGGTCCCTCTGCCTCGAACACTCTGCCACCTCTGAATGATGTGTAATTTTTCTATTTATGTGTCTTGTTAGTTTTTCTGTTTGCTTTTTGGTATGTCCTTCATTGCTAAGTTGGAGCCTAGTACACATTCAGTAAGTATTTGGTGAATGGGTAGTGAATGAGTAAGGTTAAACTGGGCCCTCTACCTGTGAGCCTGACTCAGTCCGGGGCTTCTCTTTGAACTGAGGGCCCCTTGGAGAAAAAAATGGGGTAGGGTGAGGGGCTGGAAAATCTTGGGGTTCAGACAGGCTATATGACTCACCCAGCCATTGAGAATGCCCTTCAGAGATCCTGGAGAGTCTAAAGGAATGAAGTAGTGGTTGGGTGGATTTTCCCTAAGAAAAGCAGAATCCTCATCTGTTCTAGGGGACCTCTCTTTGGCTCAGTGGTGCTCCTAACTAGAAAAGTCAAAAGAGGCTGTGTTCGTTTCTACCCAGTGCAGCATTTGGCACACAGTCAAATGCCCAATGTGATAAAGTCAAAACTCACACTTAAATCTGCATGAGTCCAGCCCCTGGCTTGTTCCCTAAGATTCTACTAGCAGGGTTCTGTGTGGCAGCAGGAAGCACAGGTCCACAGAGCAAATGACCTCAGTGTTGAGGGATAGCCAGGCAAGGGGCTGCTCAGCAGGACGGTTTTCTGTACCTCCAACTTGCTCTGCCTGGAGACAGACAATGATGGCCCCTGCATAGTTGCAAAGAGTTCTGTGGGTGCTTCCCACTAGGTGTGTGGCTGGGCTACCAAGGTAAGCAGGTTTGCCAGTCTTGTAGTTGCCTGTAGCTACCTGAATAGTTGCTTTCATGCTCACTGAGAGGGATGCTAAAGAGAAGTGGAAAGTAACAAGCAGGGGGATAGGGAAGTACAGGCCAAGGGACATGGCCACCAGGGGACAGAGCCAGTCAGGGGCCACTTGGGCAGACACAAGGGAGAAGGACATGGACCCACCCAACTAAGACAAGTAGGTGTCACTGAGAAATCAAGTTCAAATAGTCCTGGGCTAGAAGCCTCAGGCCAGAAATCTGCAAACCTGGGGTCAGACGGTTAGCCTGGTGTTTTGTCTTGCTATTTCTTTGCTTTGCTGGGGTGGATACTTACATTTTAGGGAGGGGGAATGGCAATTTCAAATCTCCCAAGTATCCTCTCAAATCTCCGAGTATCATCTCCATTTCAGAAACTAGGTCACTAAAGTCCAGATGTTGGCCTTCCCAAAGTCAGTTAACTTTTGAGTAGCAAAAGTATTCGTCTGCTGGTTTGGTAGATATGTACTGAGTACCCACTATATGCTGCTCTCTGTGCTGAGGATCTATAGCAAGGAACAAGACAATTATTCCACTTTCCTCCCAAGGCAGGCATGAAACTGAAGAAGTAAATGATGTTCAATCAGCATGATTTGTTCTGAGAACTCCATTAGGCAACTTCATTGTACCATTATAGTGTCCTTAAACTAAGAGACAACTGCAAATGACACTAGGAGACAATCTTAGAAATCTTGTGATACATGCAGTCTGTCATCACTGAAATGTTAGGTGGTGTCTGACTATAGTTGTGTTACTCTGAGAGGAGGTGTGTTAAGGAAATACAGGGCCAGGGAAGGGGTCTGGGAACATGGGGTGGGGGCTGTCTTTTTAATATTGAACGTCAGGAAACTCAAGGCTCAGAACATATTTGGAAGGCTAAGTGGTGAAGCATGCAGGTATCTGGAGGGAAAGCTGCAGCAGAAGAAATGGTAAGCGCAAAGGCTCTGAGGCAGGAACTGAATTGGTGGCTATAGATGAGTATGGCAGAGGGAACCAAGGCCACACCCACAGGGCCCAGCATATCACTGTAAGGACATTCTCTCTTTTACAGTGAATGAGATGGTTGTCTTTGCAGTATTTCAAATATAGGAGGGATGTAATCTCCCCTAGCTCTTTATTATAACCCTTGGCTGCCACGAAGAGATTGAATGTAGGGCCAGGGCAG